GCCGTGTTAGGGGAGAAGTTCCCGGACCCGATAACCAACTCACCCACCCCGGAGCCCCTCCCCTTCTTGAAAATAGGGTTTTATCGGCTCAGAAGAAGAGTATCCATAGTATACAAGCATATAATATGTGCCAATAGGTAATTTGTTTTGAATCACGAAACACTTCAGTACAACCTCACCATCCCTTCCCAGACTCACTGTCAGGCGCACCACCACTATCTCGCTGGAGAGGGCGCAGACATGAAAAGGCGCCGCGCCGCCGCGTGGCCCCTCCCAACCCACTTAGCACCGAATTAGGGAGGACATGGGACATCCACTTTCTGCTTACGATCTTTTAGAAAAAAGAAAAGCATCTAACTTCTCGAAAGTTCAAATAGTAGAGATTACGGGTTACTCATACGATACAACATTCGAAAACTATGCAACAGGTTTTAAATATTTATCAAAATAAAGAAAATACAATTCGCTCTTTTGAGAAGTACCCATAATAGACGATTCACACGGCAATATTCAGAGGTAATAGAACGAGCACAAGTTCTGTAACAGCACAAAGGGGGAATACTGACAGTAAGACAAATTTATCGAACGCTCCATATTAATGACGTAGTTGCAGATCTACGCCAAAGTAGGCAGTAAAATTGAGCTTCGTAGAACAGTAATCACTTATAAGTTATTTGGCAATGTCCAATACATTAAGATGTGACGTCACCACTGTTCTGATAACTGTGCTCTGATAAGCAAGAAAAATATCACTGCAGTAAAGGTTGTTGATAAATTTCGAACGGTTCCAGATTTCCTAGGGCAACCATTTAGGTACATGTGGCATGGAAGTCGTCGGTCTGAACGTTACATTATCAAGTTTGTTGCCATTTAGCGACCTGTCGATCAATTATCGATTACCATTTTTATCTTCTTCTTCCTCCTCATCTGCGTCCCCGTCAGCAGTTATCCATTCACTTTCCATAGCCACTTTTGTATCCATGTATGCTCGTACTTTTACTTTATATGGAACGTTAGCTCTCAAGATTCCGTTGCAATACTAAAAATTCAAAATTTCACCAGGAAACGAAAGTTACTATAAAACTTATGTAAATGACGAACCGGATCATCAAGGCTTCGTCGAACGCAGTCATCGCTGCCTATGGTGAATGAGGCTTCTTTCGACGATTTTTTGAATGGATTCCAGCCGGATGGCGTCGCCCTTTATTGTTGAATTCACTCGTTTTTTGGTTGTTTTTCTAATTTTTAATATAATGGATCTCCTAGAATTCCCACGGTAAGTGCCAGCGGTCCCGCGGCGGCTACCGTATCTGTCTTGAGAATTCAAACCTCCCCTTCTTAGAGCGCGACTGCGCACAACGGACGCGGCAATCGTTACGCGATTTCCGGAGAGGAGTTACCACTCCCTTGTGATATGGTGCCCTTCTTTCTTCCCTGGTTGAGAACTTACATAGTTCTGACGTAGAATGCGGACCGTCCGTCCTCTATCAAGGCACATTGCGCTGTATTATCAGGATTGCCACAGAAACCCATTAAAATATGAAAGAACCGACCTATAAGATCCCCAAGTCTCTTCGTCTTTCACGTCAAACCACGATTTCAATTCGTAGTTGTCATCGTTCATCTAGAAAAAGGCAAAAATCAGACCCGAATGGTTGTAAAAAAATTGAATTAAGTTAAATCATTTACATCGATATCGTCCGAAACTATAACAGCGACATCTTCAATTGCACCGTTCAGCGGAGAGAACATCTAAATTGTTCACAGATACTGTAATAATTCATGAGGGAAACTCAGGTAGGCCAAGCTGCATTTTTTTCGTTGCCCTTTCAACTCACCTGCTGATCGTTCTCGAATTTGACCGTTAACTCACGACTGCCTTGTCTCTTCAAAGAAGGCAACGATCGCCCTTCTGAAAGGACTTATATTTGCATGTTATACATATGTACTACTTCCATGTAGTGCATATGTTCAATCGTTGCGAAGAGACTACTTTTGGGAAACAATCTATGGAACGGCTGAGAAACGAAGTAACGATACCTCTTGGTACGTAGACAGTAATCATTTCACTTTCACTCTCGGCAGCCGCTTTTCCTGTTCCCATGATCACCGTTATTGTGAAAGTGTAGTAAACGTCGGACATAAGAGGACCGAATCGATGACGACTGGCACCCTTCAGTTCCACAGATACTGTAGCGACTCTCTCAGCATTGTAACTAAATATGTACGTTGAAGGTAATCAGACTTCCTAATTGCCTTATCTAGGTCAAGATAAGGATTACTTGACCATCAGTAACTATTGCACAAATATGCACTGATATGCATCAAATATCCCACTTCACAGTAATTCCGCTTACTTGTGGACTTAAAACTATAGGTGAACAACATGAAGCCTGCGGTTCTGTCTCTAAATGGAGAACGTCCGTTGCGCGCGTCCGACGAAAGTAGGTCAGCCCGCCCACTTCGCGCGCGGCTCACCACACTGAGGCCTCGACATGACATTACAGTACCACGAAATGTCAGTGGAGCGAATGGTCTGCATTTGTCCGTATTATCTTCTCTTTAAGCTGAATGTCGTGGACCAAGCACAAATCGTGTGCCCCTCCGACAACTGCGACGTTCGTCAAGTATCGCAGGCTGACCCGCCGCATGCGACGGCCGCGACGTGACCTAGTTTGACGACACGCGCAACGGAGCGCACCCGTCTCTAAATATCTCAGGATGTTATTAGTGCGGGATTCAATTGTTCGAGCCTGTGAATAACCTTCAGCTTCTTTACAATTCCTGTCGTTGAGAAACAGTCTTTACCAATGAAACTTTTGAGATCTTGTGCCAATATGCTCTGAGTGATGAGCTTTTTTTCGCGAATAGAAGAAGTATGCAAGAAGGTACCTCAACCGAAAACGACAATCACTGTCAGCATAATTCTCGATATCCCAGTACAGCAGCACATATCCCTGTCCCACAACCGGATATAATGCATTGACCTTCAGAGGATCTGAAAGTTTTGATATTATTTTATGCTATTGGTTGTCTTCCTGAGTTGGGGCATGCTTTCCGTTCTTTAAAGTCAGGGCACTCCACGCCTCCATTTCCGCGCTTGGTGAGAGCCGTGTTTACGCGACAGGTGGGGTGCGGTGCACTTGAATCGGAAGGCTGCTTTTAGTCTTCGACGTCAGTCCGTCCTTCCGTTCAACGCGTGCTGCGACGGCGATTGCGTGCGTGTCGCAACGACGGTTCTAGAAAGGTGTTGACAACACTAGATCACGTGCCAGGGCTGTCAACACCTTTCTAGAACCGCGGTTGCGGCACGCACGCGACCGCTGTCGCAGCACGCGCTGAACGGACGGACCGACGGACGTCGAAGTCTGGAAGCAGCTAAACGGTTGCTACTCGGTGAGAGCGGCGTCGCGCTCGAAAGAATATAGCAGAAGCAGAAGCAGCGCAGAGGGAAGACACAAGACCAGATGAAGCAACATTGGAATCATGGGACAAAAAATCGCTTATCCATCAAGCTGATGAAGAATACCAGAATGGCAACAACGAGGCAACTAGTTCGCGACTGCCGCGTGCGACGTATCGATTACGTAACAATGAATTCGTGACTCTCGCATCAATTCGCCTTTCACTACGCGAGGGATATCCGTCCTCTAACATCAAGAACATTCTGGGGCACAAAAAACGTAAAACCTGGGAAACATACACGTTGTTATCGCTTCCGTGACTGGACGACTTCGCACGCCTTTGTATATGGTGTACAGCGTGAACAGGTATGTTTTGCCGGGAATGAGCTTTGTGAACGTAAATGATTTCCTGAAAACCAATAAATGTAAACACTGAAAATTCCCAGTTTTCGAGGGCACATTTAGTAAATAAAAAGATGAAACGGTTCACTGAAGGATAAAGAACCGGTGTAAAAGAAGTGGGTGCACTAACGTGCTGCATGAAGAGTGTACGAGTGCACGTGGAACGGTGTTGATCGACGCCAAAAGCTTCGCCTTGGTCCTCCACGTCTATACCCTTTTTGGAATCCTGCCAGAGAGCTCTACATCATAATAGAGTGTTTTGATGTATTTAAAGGCGCACATCACGCTAAAATTGGTTTCTGAGACTACTCCTTTGTATTACTGTTCCTTTGTATTACTGTATTACTGAACTATTACTGTATTACTGTATTACTAAGGGAATCCGTAGTTCCGAGCTCCGTCAACGAACGAAGATCAGTGATGCCGTTGTCTACGCCAAGAAATCGAAGATCATGTGGGCCGGGCACGTTATTCGATATAGTGATGACCGTTGGACCAGGGCGGTTACTGACTGGATCTCTCGAGACGTCAAACGAACTCCAGGACGGCCGCCAACGAGATGGTCAGATTTCATCACGAAAGCCCTGAACGAAAGGAATGTTGAACCTCGTGTCCCTGTAGCGAGGACAATTCACTGGACCACTCGGGCTCGTGACAGGGACGAATGAAGACGTTACTGGCGCCCACTCGAGGAAATCGACGAACAACGGGATGACAGGTGATACAGGTGATACTCCTTTGTATACTGTAAGCGCCTAACGACGCTGTTGGAGAAAAACTGTCAAGACGGGGTGTAATAAGGACCCCAAAAACGGCTCAGCCAAAGGGCTTTCAAGTAGGACGAATTCTTAAGTGTTGTAAATGCTGTAGAGGTTGCACCATTCGCACCGGGACCCACACTTGCATGCAGACAGCGTATTGCAGACATCTGTATGCAATGGCGCATACATTTGAACAGCTCTTCCAAGTCCCCTTTCGTGCAACTTTGACTTCACATTGTCGTCCAAC